GCTAATTCCAGGTCTTTCTGAAGCTCTCCACAAGTGGTCCTTGGCTCTTGGACAACTCTTAAAAATTTCATGTCATTAGCACCTCTAGTAATATATTTACTGAGAAAAATGCTGACGTGTTCAATACTTATTTTACCCGCTGTATATTTTTAGTTAGCAGATTATGAGTTAATGATTTTGGTTAGCTGTGCCCACCACTGTCAGTGACAGATTAATCATAGTCAGGTGGTTTTTTTACCATCTTAGCTAACAATGTTGTGGTTTGAATCTTTGGATTGCATAATAAARAGAAAATGTATTTTAGAGAGTTGCTCCAGAGGAAACTGAGATAAACACAGTTTTAAAAGTGTTTTGTTAACATGACAGTTTGTTAAACTCCTCAAACTTTCACTCAACACTTGATCTTTGATCATCAGATAAACAGCAGGACACCCTGTGCTCTCTGACGTGGGTGGTGAGCAGCCTAACCTGCCTGCTTTATCACCTCTGAGTCATTCAGTGAATGAAAAGAACAAGTAGGTTCAGAGYAAAGCTAGGACTCTGGGTTTCCCCTTTGAGTCCAGGATTATGAAACTCCACAGCTTCTTTCTTCTTTCTGTCTTTTTAAGCCTGATCTAAAAAAAAACCACACCCACAGATCATGCTTCTGTGACACAAGAACAGATTATTCATACAAATATTAGAAAGTTGGGTGAGTCGCAGAAAGTGAAAAAAATGGTTTGTGGGCGGCATGAGGGAAATGAAAAACATCAAAACAAAAAGTTACTGTTCGTTCACTCCCTATCTTAACATCTGTCACCTCCTCTGTTTTTCCTAGTCATTGTACCCAAACTTTAAACCATAACAGGTCCCACTGCCGTCTCATAAACCTTCCCTTTTACTCCTGCTGCTGTCATGTTCTCCTCTGAGCACAGAGCTCTTACAGCTAACAGTGGAAGWAATGTTTAGCAAATCATCTTTTTCACTAACTTTTAAAAATGTTAGCAGATCAGTTAGCTTCCACTAAATTATGTTTTTTACAACTTTACGTAGTCTAACAGCTAGCTAACAAGCTAACATCAACAGGTTTGTGTCAGACCCACCAGTCTTCAGCTGGAAGAAGGTGTGACACAATGACACAGTTTATAGGCAGAAAAAAAAAAACCCCAGCAGAACCAGACATGGCGTGAATAAAGCACAATGCTCTACAGAGGAGTGAAATGAAGCTGACAGTTTCACAAACTTTCTGTTGTACCAACGTAATCAGAAGACTTGTAAATTACAGCTGGCAGATTATTTTAATCGGCCGACGTTAAGTTTATATGAAGACGCTGCCAGTGTCGGACTAACGTCCTTATTCATTATTTCCACTTCTCTTAACAAAGTACTCAAGTTTATATTTCAAAATAAGAGCAACATCAGTCAGTAATGTTTATTTATTTATTTAATTATTTGAGATATTTGAAAAAAGGGAGGACTAAATGTTACATTACCATTTCATTAAAAAACAAAATCAGTTTTGGCTGTTAAAATTAATGTGAAAGTCAAAGAGAAAGAAAAACAAAAGAGAAGAACCAACCTTTCAAAACATAAAAATAAAAAAAYGGAGCAAATACAATTAGCCAGTCTTTATGCTTGAGAAACAYCTACTTTGAGTCTGCAGAGAAGCYCTTCTCAGGCAGAGACTGCAGAAAAATACTGAAAACAGTGGAAACACAAGGCAAGAAACAAACTAAACACAAAAAATACAGGATCTAAAACACTAAGAGATAAACATAAATAGATACAGTGAAGCATCATTGACCAAGACAAAGCTACAAAGTAAAATGATACTGGATTCATGCATGTACCAAATACTGCATACATTTTAGGAAACCTAAGTGACCTTGAACAGGACCATTTTAATCTGATTTAATGAAAATTTTATGGTTTTGTGTCTTTTCAAAAACTTTCGGTTTTGACAAGACAGCATTTCAAGCATTTAGGGCACATTCAGGAAATGTGAGTCATGTAATCTTTGCCCTACAAACCATGATGTGTTAAATAACTTTCATTTGGACAAAGACAGCTACTTGCTGTGAAGCTACACATTATTAGAAAAATTTGTGACTACAATAATAGAGTAAAATATCAAATGTATATGAGCTGCTCTTATATATTATCTATGGCAGTGCCCAATGATGCCATGATAATATCAGTTGTATTTAAAAAAAAGAGGTTCTGTCATTACAGCACTTGTTCACAAAACAGCTGGGGGCATGTATAGGAGTGGGGGTCCAGCTGATTGCCATATTTATAATTTTTTATGCAGTTTGTGTTTTTGATTATTTGCAATACTTGTATTAATACTGCACACACTGATACAGAGGTGTTGATAACATTTTTATATATGATGCAGCTCCACTGAATTTGGGTAAATAATCTAAAAATATAACAATAAAACAATTTTAAACACTTTTTAGACCAATGACTGATTTTTTATTTATTATTTTATGTTTGTTGTCAGTTGTTTCACAGGATGTTGAGACCATGAAGTGCAGCTATGAGTTCATCGGCTTTATTTAAAGGAAGACTTGATTTCAAGAACACGTAAGTTGAATGTGATGTTGCTTAATAATCAGTAGTAACATGTTAACAAACTTGGTGATTGAGAGAATATTCAGATAAATTACATCAAACTGCAAAACAATTTTTACAACAAATCTTTTACTTTGGGTCATCCCTGTGTTTGCCTGTGAAGAACACTACGTTTTTCTTTTACCCTGTTTGTAAACTCAGACTTTTTTTTTCTTGTCTTTTTCAGGATTCATCTATCTGAACCAGAACCTGATTCAGAACTGGGTTCAGAACTGGATTCTAACACTCAGTGTGAGCCCAGCTGTTTGTCCTTGAGGAGCAATCATTCAAAGGCTGAACCTCTTCTGTTTACCGGAGGACTCTACACATCTAAAAAAGGTTTACCGGTTCAATCAGACAGCTTTAATATCAGGTATTTAAGACTGAACACACCTTTCTGCCCTGATCACTCACTGAATTTGCTGAAAAYTTTTAAACTGAAATGCTAAAGTTAAAACATGCCAAACAGAAGCAAAAATTAGCTGAACAGAAGATGTCAATATATTAGCTTGAAACTAAACTCATCAAACCAGTAGCTAAATGTTAAAATCAGTTAAAACCATAACTAAAGCTAGATTAAGCAAAACTGTGCCTAAAATAAAAAGTTAGCAATACAGTAACTTCAACTAAACTTATCAACAGTAGCTAAAAACTGAACGTAGCAAAACAGCAGCTAATGATTAAAATCAGCTAAAAACTTATGTAGGGGTTTTAAACGCTAAAATTAAACAAACTCTGTAAGAAATGTTTAATTTTCACCTTAAGGGGGCACCACTAAAGTTTTTGTAGTAAAACTTCAGAAAAACTTTCTTTTAAAATTCAATCTCTAAATATGAAGGCGTTTAATTCTTTCAGTTTAATGACGGCGTGAGACAAGGAAATACAGACGGAGACAAATCACATTTGGAAATTCATCCGTGTATTATTTAAAATGAGGTTCAGAGGGAAATATATGCWTTACAAGTCATTTYTCAGACAAAAACACACTYATAATCAGTTCCGTAAACTTGATCAAGGAGTGACGTAAGTAGTCTGACATGGCTACCATGTGAATAACTTTCTAACATATTTCAGTGGGACACTACTCGCTATTCCTAAGCGTACAGTCAACAAAGAAGGAGCTCAGGGGAAGAAGAATGAACATTGATTAWACTCTGATCTGATTTAAATCTTTGAACACACCATCAGATTAATTAAGCAGGATGTTTCCTACTGGCAAAGTTTGTAGACACCAGAACGGATACTTCTATGGTAATTGGGTGGCMCGTGAAGTCCAACCGAGTCTGTGACTTAGCTGTGCAGAAGTTCCCTGGTCATCTGGTTTGYCGGGCTTCATTCACTGGAGATGTTGTCCAGGGCACCGCAGYGGCTGCCTTCCTTGCGGGCACACTGGTGGTTGTCCGACTTGAATTAAATCAGTCTCATCGTTTTCAAACAATGTAAATCTCCTTCCTGAAAAGCACCTTCAGATTAAACTACAAAAAGGAAAAGGCTGGAAAAAGAATGGCCTCGCCCCGRGATGGGGGGAAGCTGGAGCTGAAAAAAACTACTGCTCTCTCCTCAAATGCTTCTTAGAACTCTACACATGGCAGAACAATGAAAAACTCCCTGTTCACAACAGAACTTCTCATTGGTTAAGACTTTCTGCGGTGGTCACATGACCTATCCGGACATGTAACAGAAGAACAGAGTAATAATTAATCAAAACCAGATCAAGTTACTAAACAATGTCATGATTATTACAGTAATTAAATCAGAGTACCAAGGTATTGTTTTGACACTTAGAGGCTTTTTATAGTTATAAATGGAAAACATGGGTGAAAAATAAAATGTTTTCAGGGTTAATACATGGTGCAAAATAAAATGTCCACAGGGTGGCGTTGCTGACCCACAGATAAATCTGATGGGAGTCTTTTGATGCTTTGTCTCTTCTTGTTTAACATCAGGGGCCCTTTGATGTCAAACAATGTTTGTTCCAGTCTTATTCTGAAAGAGGTGATAAACAAATTAACTGGCAACAAGAAGTCTAGTCTTTGTTCTAAGGCCTACGGGAGAAGTATCAGATGAATTAACAGGAACAATAGTTTGACTGTCTTCTTGTTGAGAAGATATTCACATTTCCGCTACACTTAGATTAAAAAAAGTTAGCAAATGTGTAGCTAAAATATAAAATTAGTAATAGAGTAAATTTTAACCTAAACATTACCTAAAAGGTAATCAGCTAAAACTATTGCTAACAGCTAGAATAAGTAAAACTGTATCCAAAATAAAGTTAGCAATATGTTAGCTTATAACTAAACTTAGCAAAACAGTAGCTGAAATCTAAAATCATCTAAAAAGCATAACTAAAATCTTGAGTATGAAAAAATAAGCTAAAAGACATTATTTTAAAACTAAACTCATCAAAACAGTAGCTAAAAATTAACTACACCTTCGGGACGTTTTCTAGCAGTTCCAGTGGTCCAGCTGTTCAAAAACCTGAAATGGGAACATTGAGTCTCTGATGGTGAATTAAGTCAGATGGTAAAGGCTCCCACATACTCAGGTGTGCGGTCCGTGAGCCATGCAGACTACGCGCATATTGTCCACAAATGTTTGAGACTTGATACTCGAGTGTACTGACCGCCTGACAAAGTCTTTGATTTCTCGCAATTTCAGTCATGATGTTAAGGACAGTTTGCATTTTAGCTTTAAAACAACAAAAGAACAGAACTTACCTTACTCTGAATCAGCTATTTCCTCACACAAATTTGTTCCTCACTGAAAGTCCTTATATTCCTTCTTTGACGCATCGTAAAGTTTTCTAGTCTCCTCCATGAGACACTCTTCAAATTTTGACTCCATTTTGTCCACAAATGACACCGATTCTCAACTTTATCATCTTGGTGTCGTATCCAAAACAGTTCAACGTGAACTTGCTGGTTATTTTATTGTGCCACACTGCGGATGTGGACGTAAAAAATAGATCTCTGTGCGGATCAGTCCGGCGGATGGCTGCATTGAGTCCGCCTCGAGTCCTGCGCGGACCTCCGCTGAGCGAAGTACACCTGAGTATGTGGGGGCCTTAAGGGACCACAACATAACACCATTCCATTGACGTCATCTTTCTCGCCAGTGTTGAATTTCCTTTGTCTGGGTTCAACAAACAGCTCCGGGGCAGGACTAGATGGCTGTACAGTATTTGAGGGAAACCGTAGGTGATATATATTTATTTGAACATGGTCTTTCTCTACCAGGACCTTTCATGGACCAGAATCATGTGAGCTGGAACCTCGCTTTGAAGCTGAAGCCAGGGGATTGTTCTTAAAGAGCAACCAAACGGAGGCTGAGTATCTTCTGAAAGAATGTCATCCATATCTGTACCTGAGGTGAGGAAATGAAATGGTCCATTTGAAGTTTTTAGTAAAAACAAAGCAGAAGAAAGAAATGTCACTTAAGTTAGTTTATATCTCAGCTGAATAAAACAGAAGGCTCTTTTGTCTAAAACATTTTGAATTGTCTTTGAGATTATAAACTAATGCAAAAACAGTTAAACTAATGTTCCTATAAAAAACAATAGAATTCAGTGAAACGAGTGAGAAAACCCAGACCTCATTGGAGTTCTGCAGCTCAGACACACATCACTGTAGAAACATTAAGAAAAGTAGAAATTGTAATTGTAATCCTACTAGATCTGGTTCACTTCCCTGGACCTTTACCTTGTGTTTGTCTTTGCGTGGACAGCCAGAAAGGGAGCTAATTCTTCATGATTCCTCCACAGAGTGGACCAGCAGACCTCTAAGGGTCCGAGTACTGAGTCTGCCCAGCAGCATCAATCCCAGCTGGACTCCATTTTTATGGTGTGTACATGCCCAACAAGTCCTTTATCTGTTGTGTCCGGTATCATCTCCATGCTTGACTTTGTAAACCAGTGGACAGTCTGTCCAACTTGCAGACTAGTGTACTGCCTGTCCAACATGTAGACCAATGGACAGTCTGTCCAATGTGTGGATCAGTGGACAATCCAACATGTAGACCAGTGGATAGTCTGTCCAATATGTAGACCAGTGGATAGTCTGTCCAGTATGTAGACCAGTGGACAGTCTGTCCAACATGTAGACCAATGGACAGTCTGTCCAATGTGTAGATCAGTGGACAATCCAACATGTAGACCAGTGGATAGTCTGTCCAATATGTAGACCAGTGGATAGTCTGTCCAGTATGTAGACCAGTGGACAGTCTGTCCAACATGTAGACCAATGGACAGTCTGTCCAATGTGTAGATCAGTGGACAATCCAACATGTAGACCAGTGGATAGTCTGTCCAATATGTAGACCAGTGGACAGTCTGTCCAACATGTAGACCAGTGGACAGTCTGTCCAACATGGATCTGATGTCTCAATCAGATGTTATTCTGTTCCAGCTGCTGGAGGACAACATGCTCACTTTTGTGAAGAACGAGCTGAAGAAGATCCAGAAGATTCTGAGTCCAGACTACCCAGAATGCTCAGAGAGCCAGGGTGACGATGAGGTGTTGGAGGGTGAGGATGAAGAACAGAAGAGGAGCACAGAGTCACTGATGAAGGTCACAGTTTACTTCCTGAGGAGGATGAAGCAGGATGAGCTGGCTGAGCGTCTGCAGAGAAGTAAGATTTCTATGAACATTTAATCTGAAGAAAAAGAGAATATTATAATTACAGTGGGGAAATATTAATCCCCTCTGGATTTTTTTCATCACATGAATGTCTGAAATTTTGGTCCTCAAAAACTCTAAATCCTTTAAGGTTTCTTGGCTGCTGCTTAGCAAATCAAAGTTTCAGCTCCACAGATTTTTGACAGAACTGAGATCCTCAAGGTCCACTGTCCTGAATGTTTAAGTTGTTCAAAATGAATGAATGAATGAATGAATGAATGAATGAATGAATGAATGAATGAGTCAGTCACTTTTATTTAACCAAATTGAGCCCATTGAGATCAAGATCTCTTTTCCAAGGGTGACCTGATCAAGAGGTCAGCAGCACATGTCACAGGGTAGTTGAAAATGTTAGATTGTAGAAAGAAAGAAATATACATATAATTCAGTAGCATTAAACAGATTTAGACAATGAGTAGAACAAACAATGTAGATGAGGCAAAGTAGTAATCTGTGCATTAACAGTTGTTTCAAGACTTAATTAAATGACATTTGACAGTTAAATTACCAAGTTTAGGTGGCGGTCTGATCCTCGGCTACAGAAGCTGGCTCTAGGGACATGGAATGTCACCTCTCTGGTGGGGAAGGAGCCTAAGCTGGCCTGGTGTGTGAGGTTGAGAGGTTCCGACTAGACATAGTTGGACTCACCTCAACGCACCGCTCTGGCTCTGGAACCAGTCTCCTCGAGAGGGGTTGGACACTCTTCCACTCTGGAGTTGCCCATGCTGAGAGGCTCTGAGCAGGAGTGGGCATACTTAATGCCCCCATCTTGGTGCCTGTATGTTGGGATTCACCCCGGTGAACGAGAGGGTAGCCTCCCTTCGCCTACGGGTGGKGGGATGGGTCCTGACTGTTGTTTGTGCCTATGCGCCTAAAAGCAGTTCAGATTACCCACTCTATTTGCAGTCCTTGGAGGGAGTGCTGGAGAGCACTCCTAACGGGGACTCCCTCGTTCTGCTGGGGGACTTCAACGCTCACTTGGATAATGACAGTGAGACCTGGAGAGGTGTGGTTGGGAGGAATGCCACCCCCTCCCCGATCTGAACCCGAGTGGTGTTTTGTTATTGGACTTCTGTGCTCGTCATGGATTGTCCATAACGAACACCATGTATAAGCATAAGGGTGTTCATATGTGCTCTTGGCACCAGGACACCCTAGGCTGCAGTTTGATGATCAAATTTTGTTGTCATTTCATCTGATCTGCGGCCACATGTTTTGGACACTCGGGTGAAGAGAGGGGCGGAGCTGTCAACTGACCACTACCTGGTGGTGAGTTGGCTCCGTTGGGGGGGAGGATGCCGGTCAGACTTGGCAGACCCAAACATATAGTGAGGGTCTGCTGGGAACATCTCTCAGAGTCTTCCATTAGACGGAGCTTCAACTCACACCTCCGGAGGAACTTCAAACACATTCCGAGGGAGGTAGGGGACATTGAGTCTGAGTGGGCCATGTTCCGTACCTCCATTGTAAAGGCGGCTTACCTGAGCTTTGGCCAAAAGGTTGTCAGTGCTTGTCGTGGCGGCAACCCTCGAACCCGCTGGTGGACACCAGTGGTGAGGGATGCTGTCAGGCTGAAGAAGGAGTCCTATTGGGTCTTTTTGGCCTGTGAGACTCTGGAAGAAGTCGATAGGTAACAGCAGTCCAAGCGGATTGCAGCTCGGGTGGTCGCTGAGGCTAAAACACGGGCATGGGAGGAGTTTGGAGAGGCCATGGAAAAAGACTTCCGTACAGCTTTGGTGCGATTTGGGGAGGGGGGGCAGTTCGCGTGGGGATGGTGCGCTGCTGACCTTAACTCGGCACGTTGTGGGTCGGTGGGTTGGTGGGCGGAATACTTCGAGAACCTCCTCAATCCTACCGACACGTCTTCCCATGAGGAAGCAGAGCCTGAGGACCCTGGATTGGACTCTCCAATCTCTGGTGCTGAGGTCACCGAGGTGGTTAAAAAGCTCCTTGGTGGCAGGGCGCTGGGGGTGGATGAGATTCGCCTGGAGTTCCTTAGGGCTCTGGATGTTGTGGGGTTGCATTGGTTGAGGCGACTCTACAATATTGCGTGTACAACGGGGGCAGTTCCCCTGGATTGGCAGACTGGGGTGGTGGTCCCCCTATTTAAAAAGGGGACAGCAGAGTGTGTTCCAGCTAAAGGGGGATCACACTTCTGAGCCTCCCCGGTAAGGTCTGTTCAGGGTTTCTGGGGAGGAGTTGGATAGTTGAATCTCAGATTCAGGAAGAGCAGTGTGGTTTTCGTCCTGTCGTGGAATAGCGGACCAGCTCTACACCCTCAGCAGGGTCCTGGAGGGTGCATGGGAGTTCGCCCAACCAGTCTACATGTGTTTTATGGACTTGGAGAAGGCGTTCGACCGTGTCCCTCGGGGACTCCTGTGGGGTGTACTCCGGGAGTATGGGGTACTGGGCCCATTGATGCGGGCTGTTAGGTCCCTGTACGATCGGTGCCAGAGCTTGGTCCGCATTGCCGGTTGTAAGTCGGACTCATTTCCAGTTAGAGTTGGACTCCACCAAGGTTGCCTTTGTCACCGATTCTATTCATAATTGTTATGGACAGAATGGACAGGTGTTGAGGGGATCCATTTTGGTGACCTTAGGGTCACATCTCTGCTTTTTGTGGATGGTGTGGTCCGATTGGCTTCATCAGATCGTGATCTCCAGCTCTCACTGGAACGGTTCGCAGCCGAGTGTGACGCGGCCGGGATGAGGATCAGTGCCTCCAAATCCGAGACCATGGTCTTGAGATGGAAAAGGGTAGCGTGCCGCCTCCGGGTCAGGGAGGAGTTCCTGCCCCAAGTGGAAGAGTTTAAGTATTTCAGGGTCTTGTTCACGAATGAGGGAAGAATGGAGCAGGAGATCAACAGGCGGATTGGTGCTGCGTCTGCAGTGGTGTGGGTGCTGTACCGGTCTGTCGTGGTGAAGCGAGAGCTGAGCCAGAAGGCAAAGCTCTCAATTTACCAGTCGGTCTACGTTCCTTCCTTCATCTATGGTCACGAACTTTGGGTAGTGACCGAAAGAATGAGATCGCGGATACAAGCGGCCGAAATGAGTTTCCTTCGCAGGGTGTCTGGGCTATCCCTTAGAGAAAGGGTGAAAATCTCAGTCATCTGGGAGGGACTCAGACTAGAGCGTCCAGTCTGAGTCACATCCCACTGGGAGGAGGCCCAGAGGAAGATCCAGGCCACGCTGGAGGGACTATGTTTCTCGGCTGGTCTGTGAATGCCTTGGGATTTTCCCGGATGAGCTGGCCCAAGTGGCTGTGGAGAGGGAAGTCTGGGTCTCTCTGCTTAGGCTGCTGCCCCGCAACCATACCCCGGATAAGCGGCAGGAAACGGACGGGCGGACTGACGGAGTTCATTTCAGTTAGAAGACATGAACTGTAGGGTGAAGAGTTCATGTTGAAAAACAGTTCTTCATACTACGACTTCTATATGGCCGCCATTTTACATTTATAATTTGACTGTACTATATGTTGGAGATCACATCAAATTTCATCTCAATAAGTCACAAAATGGCTGAATTAGAGCTTTTTATCTACTTAGCAGTATCTGTTAGCTTGAAATTGTGATTAGCATTTAGCATGTTTTTGGATCAATTCTAGCTACGATCAAAAAAAATTCTGCTCAATATTAAAACAGCAGAATGAGAGCCATTTGAAAGTGGCTCAGTTTTGGTATGGTTTATGTGGTGCTGGCCCATGCATGGACCACCTCTGGTCAACCACATCTGAGCCAGTAAAGGGCCATAATGTTTTGCAGTATCTGGACTGAGTGTGGGCCAGAACTGGGCCTGACAAATTATGCTATGTACAGAAAAACAAACCCAAAACATAATCCTTCCACCTCCATGCTTGATTTGACTTGAGATGGTGTTTCTTTAGTCAGACTTAACATTTTTCTTCCTCCGAACACGCTGGGTAAAGATGATGCCAAAGGCTCAATTTTGGTCTAATCTTTAGCAGTTTGTCTCAAACCATTTCTGAATCATTTAGATGTTGACTGTTAGTCTTCAGACGGGCCTGCACATGGGCCTTCTTGAATATGGGGGACCTTGAGGACACTGCAAAAATTTAAATCCATCATCGCAAAATGTGGTTGAATTCTGTGGTCCCACCTGCCTTCACATCATTAGTAATCTCCCACTGCTTCTTGGGGGTTATACAGTAACTTGTGGCAATCTCATAATGCAAGGATCCAAGAAGATAGAAGTAGCAATGGGCCTCATGCAAGAACATGTTCGTATTCTTATCCTAAATTTCTCTTACTTTTGTTCGTACAAAGGGTTCGTACGAACGTGTCACGTCAGATTCAACAAACTCTTCTATCTTCAGGAAAAGTGTGTAAATGAGCTGCGTAAATTCCACCTGTTCTATCCAGCTGCTCGTGCACGCGAG